TTTTGCAGCCAGTGTTGCAGCTTTTTGTTGTTGGGCAAATAACATGAATTTAATGATATGATATGATATAATTATCTCAGTCTAACATCCAACATGGACTAACATCAATATCTTAATGAATAAATCACCAATAGATCAATATTCAAATCAGGGGAAAACATCACTTCAGAACCTGCCTTCGGAATGATCGTGTTTCTGCCTTCTCTTCAGTTTCACAGTGATTCACTGGCAGTTGTCAGTACTTGTGTTGTTTCTTAGCAAACACGTGCTGCTATTAGCTAATTCGGCATAGTTCATTTTTCGAAATGTAAACACATTCAGGTTTAAAACATATTTGCAAACTCCTCTGGGTCCATGTCCACATGTTTGGCATCCTGGAAAACTCACATCTACTGTTTTCAATATGAAATAATCTTAAATACCAAGAGGGATAAATGTATTAAACTCCCGCTGATGTTAATTCGACGTTTGCAGGATCTCTGCTCTAATTTGCTGCCTCTCCTCCGTCAGATCTGGCAACCCGCCGCTCGCAGGTGCTGAAAACAGCGGAAGCGGAAGTCGCTGCTTCGCGTCGTCTCCTCGAAGGCTCCTGAAGATCCACTCGGCGGTAAGCGCCTCTGATTTCACCGTAAACACACGTTTCTGACACGGGAGGATACTGGAGGTCGGTGGGCGTCATTCTGAACGGAAACCCGCGGCTGTGTCTCGACTCAAACCCCCCCACGGCGTTTGCTAAAGTCCGCTACTTAAGCTAATTGCTGCTAGCCTCGCTAGCGTTAGCCTTGTTGACGTCCGCTGCTCGTCGCTGTCCCAGGTCCTGAAAACACGAAACTCCTCACACACGTTGTTCACGAGCGCGTCGACACACTAACACACGTTAACACGCACTCTGACACGCACACTCACACGCACACTCACACGCTGTCTATCCACCAGCTGTGTGAACGAGGCTCTGGCTCAGATTCTCACCCACTAGTCCCAGGATGCTGGCAGCTAACTAGCTTGTAGCTTAGCCACAGAGCTAGCGCAGAGGAGGATCTGTCGCAGTGATGGTGTCTGACACGCGGACACAACCCGTCACTTCTACCACTCTGCAGCTGCCGGGGACGTATTCCTCCGTGTCTTCTTCACTCTCACTATATTCTCTATTTGCACAAACGCTTTAAACATTGTTATGTCTCTGGATTTTTGCTTGACACGGTCTTATCTGATGTTAATGTCTCCATTGGCACATACTTCTTTACGGTGCAGTGATCTCTTATTACTGTTATCCTGTTGTGTTTGACAGTTTTGTGTGCTATCTCTTTCTCTGTCTATCTGTCTGTCTGTCTCTAAATGAAATATATATATTGCAATCTGTATTTGTATAGCTCTTTTCTAGTCTTCAAGACCTCTCAAAGCACTTTACAGCACAGATTTATCATTCACTCACACACATTTACACAGTTTATCTATGTGCAGCACTTTCTCTCACACAACCGTCTGGGGCAATATTTGGGGGTTAGCCCGTGGAATCACTTTAGTTAGTGAGTGATTCACTCTTTCTTCTGAGCCACCGTTTCCCCTGGTGTCCTCACCCAAGGACGTCACACTTTTTGTACAGATTGTTAAGCCCCGTGAGGCAAATTGTGATTTTGGTGAATACAGGCCATACAAACAATTTGATTGCTTGATATTCAAAATGGCTTGCTTGCCATTGTCGTCCCAGCTCTTTTCTTAAATGTCGACCGGTGCCTCCTTGCAGTGCCAGGATCTGCTTTCTGACATCCTGAGACAAGCCAGTGCTACAGGCTGAAGACAGAACAGCAGGATGAACGCTCACTGAGCCAGCATCTGCAAGCAAGCAACTCAAGAATCAGACTTTGACAGCACATTCAGGCTTTACCTAAAGGTACAAGAGTTTGTTCGTGAACATTTGTGGCTCTTTCTGTTTCTGTTTCCCAAGTTTTTGAGGTTGCAGCTTTAACATTATTTTTCTGAACAGATTGTGGTGGTTCCCCCTCAGACACCATGACGTCCTCTATGCTTCGGCGTCAGTTAAAGAACCTGGTCCAGAACTACTCTGAGGCTGAGGTCAAGGTACGAGAAATTAGATTCAAGTTCTGTGTGAGGTCTAATCTTTCTGTATAAAGTTATCTGAATCAGTACGTTAAATATTGATCGTTGTGCTCTGCAAGTTTGATTCAAGATGTAATTTAATGTGCTGATGTGATAGGACACAACCAATAATATATCTGAACTGATCACTAACCATTTTCAGCGACAATGTGAAGTTGCTACACTGCTGCCAAACCCTCACTGACGCCAGCATCTGTTTTCTCTTCATAAGCTGACATCACCAACTTCTATGCTGCAACACCGTGTACTTGCTGACTTTGCTTCTTCTGCAGGTGAGAGAGGCTACATCGAATGACCCATGGGGCCCATCCAGCTCTCAGATGGCCGACCTCTCTGACCTGACCTACAATGTGGTGGCCTGCAACGAAATCATGACGATGCTCTGGAAACGGCTGAAAGACGACAGGAACTGGAGACACATTCAAAAGGTGAGGAACGTAGAGGGGGGATTTCCCTGCCATTATAATGGATGTGATGTTATGCATGAAATGTCTATATATATATATATATATATATATATATATATATATATAGGAACAGATCATTTTCAATTACACAGATTGGCCATTTGTTTTTGTTTTGGCATCATATACATGGAGTAAACAATTTGTACTTTTAAAAGCGAACTAAGTGTCTTTAGTGCTAAAGCTGTCATGTATCTTAAATCTTTTTTTTTTCTGCAACCGTCACAAATGTTCTGTGGTAACCCACGATAGACAGACACAGGAATAAAATAGAAAGCATAAGTGAACAGTAACTTGTGCACATGAGGCAGATAAATTAAAATTTCATCAGAGGTTTTCTCAGCTGCAGTCTGAAGGTGAAGGACACTGTTCGGCCAATGTCCAATAAGTAATAAGAGCTCAGTACCATTCTGCTGTGTCAGTATAACGCTGGAGACATGTGCAGTAGGCAGCATGATACATTTAACTGTTTTGATTTAGTATTAAATCTTATGATCCATGAGAGTAACTGTAGATTTCCAACTTCTTATGTGTTTATCTCTGCTTAAAAACCAAACTGTAAGATTGCCGGTTTATCTTATTGTCAGCCATTCACATATTTTTGTCATAATCTGTCTCCTATCGTGTTTTTTTCCACACTAGTCCCTGACGCTGCTGGAGTACCTATTGAAGACTGGTGACGACCGTGTGCTTCTGAAAATGAAAGACAACATCTACATTGTCAAAGCCCTCACAGAATACCGCTTTGTGGAAAAAGATGGCAAAGATCAGGTGAAATGTGTTTCGTGGCATTTAATGACCTGTATGTGGCAGTAAACCTTTTAGGCTTAGATTGGATTTCATTCAAGTGGTTTGAGCCAAATATCTAATATGAGCTTATTATCTGTCCCAGGGTGTGAACGTAAGAGATAAGGCCAAGGTTGTCCTTGTTCTAATGGAGGATGAAGATAAACTAAAGGAGGAAAGAGACTTTGCTGTGAAGACCAGAGAGAAGACATCAAAAAGTTCTGGAGGTGAGACCCTCTGTCAGAAAGTATCACTGCTAAATACCCTCTTTTTTCTTCCAATTCTCATTATCGTCTGTGTTTCTCAGACAAATCTAATTCAGTTGATCCTTCTTTAAACTTTTCTAACCAGCCTCGTCCTCGGATGCCGTCAAGGATCCTAACTACAAGCCATGCTATGTCGCCGGGGCCTCAGGTCTTCCATCCTTAGACAACATTCCCTCAGTGGCTGACTTAACTGCTTCCTTCACCGCCCGCAAAGAGGAACGGCTGCGTCAGGAAGCTGAGAAGAAAGAAACAGAGAGAAGAGTGAGTATATGTTCAGTACAAGTTCATCACTTAGATGTAGCAAGTGGATGGATTTGCACAAACACTACACTAATATTAAGCAGTCCTGTCTGAAAAATACGTGACCTCAACAACAATCACTTAATCACATAACAGATGCAATTAAATTGAACAAACAAGGTGTTTTTATTGTAATATTCTAGGCCAAGCTGAGTGAAGATGAGCTGAAATGGGAGGATGCAGGCAAAGACACAAATGTTAAAGTTGTTGCTTGGGAAGGAGAAAAGGAAGAGGAGGAGGTGAAACCAGACGCGTGGGGAGCGTCCAAAGAACCTAAAGAGGCCACAGATCCATGGGGCAAACCCACGACACCTGACACCACTGAAAAAGCAACCAGCAGTGATCCTTGGGGGGGTTCAACTAAAGCTGCTGAAGATGAATTTACTGCACCAAAAACAGATGAAGATCCATTTGCTGCACCAAAGAATGGAGAAGATTCTTTTGCAGCACCAAAAGATGAACCAGATCCGTTCAGTGCATCAAAAGATGATCCGTTCAACGCCCCAAAAGACCGTTCAGATCCCTTCAATGCACCCAAAGACAAGGAGGATCCATTTGCTGCTCCAAAAGATAAAGCAGATCCCTTTAGTTCATCCAACAATGATCCGTTCAACGCCCCAAAAGACGATCCGTTCAACGCCCCAAAAGACGATCCCTTCAGCGCACCAAAAGACGATCCCTTCAACGCCCCAAAAGACGATCCCTTCAACGCCCCAAAAGACGATCCCTTCAACGCCCTGAAAGACGATCCTTTTAATACTCCAAAAGACGATCCCTTTACTGCACCAGCATCAACACCGCCTAAAGATGACCCATTTACAGCACCAACATCTAAAGACGACACTTTCACTGCTCCCACGTCACCGCCTAAAGAAGATCCTTTCTCTGCACCGACCAAACCTGCTCAAGACGACCCTTTTACTGCACCGACAGCTCCGTCCAAAGAGGATCCTTTCTCTGCACCATCAAAGTCTCCGGAAGAGGATCCCTTTGGTATTATAACAACACCCCCTAATGATAACACCTTCTCTGCACCAACTACACCGCCCAAAGAGGATCCCTTCTCTGCACCATCCAAACCTGCACAGGATGATGCCTTCAATGCGCCAACTACACCCCCCAAAGAGGACCCATTCGCATTTCCATCTCCTGCACCAAAGAATGATGCCTCAGATCCCTTCAGTGCTCCTTCTGCAACATCGCCCCAGGGGAGTTCAGATACGTGGGGAGCCCCTGCCAGCTCTCCACCTGGGACTGTGTCAGATCCTTGGGAGACACCATCGACTCCGAAGGAAGCAAACAGTGGAGATCCTTGGGGGGATGTGACCTCACCCACTGCTAATTCTGATCCATTCGGGGACTCATCCAAACCAGACAATGACCCATGGGGAGCCCCAGGTAAGAACCAAACAAATGCTTTCAGACTTCTTAGAACAT